GCGTGACGGTAGTGGCATTTCGTCGGTTGCCCGCTTCGTGCACAACGCGCAGCAGCTGATGTGTAAAAATGGCCGCTAGCACCGATGTAAACGATACAAAGTGAGGATACGACGGAGCATTTGCTGTCGCGCGATTAGCATGAAGGTGAGAGCGCTGAATTCATGGTTTCCGACGTATCGCGAAGGTAATCTGAGGGATTTGCATGCCGTGGTGTATGTGTGCGTGTGTCTTCTTCTTTTACGCAGATTCGCCGAGTGCATCAAATTGTTCGTCTCCTTTCCGTCATGTAGCGTGATCGCAGATAAGAAACCATCCGATTACGGCAGCCGCTCGTTGACGATTCGTCGATGCCGTTACGTCCGCTTCGTGAGGAAAACGGCGAGATGAACGTAGCAAGAAGTACAGCGCAGCGGATAACAGCGGTGATTACTTTTTCTTCGATGATACCTGTCGTACCGTAAGAGACACCTTCACGATGCTTCACATGTACGTTGTAACAAGGATAATTCCCTGTCTGATCTTCCTTTCCTTCTTTCAAGGACGAGCTGTAGATCTCTCAGGTATCACAGGCGCATGTATCATTGAAGTTGGAAATTCCCGGATCAGTGGTCATTCAACAGCTGTTAGCAATATAATGGCTTACGACCCACGTAACATAAAGTATTCGCCAAATACTCACGCCAATCAGCACACTAGGCCCAACATGACCGGATACGCGTATTCTGGCCATCCACCACAGCATTTTCAGCAAACTGATGAGAATAGAAATGAGAATAACTTGTGTGGCACTAAAGAGATCTGCTCGCAGATCTCGCAGCAATCGTCCAGCACTCAGACTGTACAGAAAGTGGATGCTGCGACAATGACAGATCCTCTACAGATCGATTTTAGACTCACTTCTGAATACTTGGCACGTTGTTCTAGTACGTTAGGTCTACCATATGTAACTAAATACGAGGACAACAGCAATAATTCTACACACAACTGTCAAGAGATCAGACCAAAAATTGAATTTGAGATTGAACCGCAACATATTAATGGTAAGCCACTTTTCATGCTTCTTTATTCCTTTAAGGGCCACATTTGTCTGACAAAACTTAGAAAGCTGCTTGATGTTATACAAAGTGCTTCTTAAAGAGGTTGTAAAGCAATTTGAGTGTTTTGGTTAAAAAATTATTAAAACTTTTTCTATATATAAATTGCAATATTACCTAACTGCTCATGCAATTAGAAAAAAATATTGACCATTGGAGAATGGAGATTAAAATTTAAGTTGACATTTTTTATAGATATTTCTTAAAGTTAGTTTGCTATTTTTAATTTCTTGTAAAATTAAGGTTTTAATAAAAACTGATGTAATGCTACTGATATAGTATTAACTATGATATTAAGGACTAATATAGTGACATTAATAAAACAACTTTCAAAATTATTATTTTGTTTAAAAATATAGTGAAAGAAGGTTCATAATTTAAAATAATATATAAAAATATATATATTTAAGCAACTTATATATATATATATATATAAAAATATATATATTTAAGCAACTTATATATATATATATATATATATATATATATATATATATATATATATATATAACTTTTTTTATTATTTGTGCATCTCTGTCAGATCAATTGATGCACAAATAAAGCATTAATAAGAAAAACAATATTTTTTGTCTTTATAATATTATGTCTTAATAATATTGTCTTTATAATATTGTGCGTGTATATCTGTAGAGGTCCTGACCTTTCTAAGATATGTATGTACTAATATGTGCTGATATACAAAAAAAAGTAAAGTATTTCAAATTAACATTTATTACTTAAAGTAAATTATACATTTCTTTAAGTAAAAGAAATGTATAAAAGCATGATTTTATTTGATAAATAATAAGTTTACAAGTGATCCTCTTTTCTTGATTTTCCATTGAAAATACTTTACGACCTCTTTGAGCATTGTTTGATATTTTATTTGATTTTTCAAGATATTTTATATGAAGAAAAATTCATGTGAATGTATGATTTTAAAGACCTTGTTTCAGAGATAGAGAGATAATTCTATAAAATTATCGTTTTTTCTTAATATTTTTTAAATGAAAAGATTTTTTTCAAAATTGGGTCAGTAAATTGGTAAGATATTATTTTAATTTTTTACCTATAATCGTTTTGTGAGAAGTTAACGGCGTATAAATATAATAGTTTGAATAATACATTACTGTCTAAACTCCGATAAACAGAACCATTTTTTGCTATTACCGATTTTTATTATTTTATGAATTACTCACAAAAATGCACTCTTGGTAGATTTCGATAAAGCTGTCAGTTTAAGAGACATTTGTGTGTTGTGTGTGTGTTTCAAAATAGGATTTTTAAAATCCTACATCTCTGAAATACTTGAAGTACTTGAGATCATATAAACCTTTTTTCATAAAATGATTCAACTCCTAAATCAAACTCGATGAACTTGATGAAAAATCAACTTCTAAAATATAAAAAAATTTTTGAACAAATGTTTATAAAAGTCCTAACAACACACCTATCAGTAAAATTTTTCAGATTCACTTTATAAACAAAATTTTTTAATAATTACATATTTTAATAGATTTTTTAATAATTATTAATAAAATAAATTTTACAAATTGACTACAGCATTTTGTATATTAAAGGTCCTGATCTTTCTAAGATATGTATGTACATTGATGTGCTGATATGCAAAAAAAGTAAAGTATTCCAAAAACTCTCTCTCTGTTAAAAAAAATACAAGGGATACAAATAGAAAGGTAGAATATACTCGCAAATGATTGAAGCAACTTGCTACAATATTGTCTACGGTTTTTAATCACTTGTAAATATTTATTGAAAACATTTATATAAACGATTTTATGTGATATAATTCTCTCTGTTTGTCAGGTATGTTGATTTACCATTGCCCCGAATGTGCATATAGATTTGAAGATCGAGAAGCACTTCACGAACATCTTGAAGATCATAAACAGAGACCACATATTTGTGATATTTGTGGGGCAAGTTTGAAACGAAAGGAGCATTTAGATCGTCATAAGCAAGGTCACAATAAGGACAGGCCTTATCAATGTAATATGTGTTGTAAATCATTCAAACGTAATGAACACTTAGCGCGTCACATGATTACTCACTCAGGTAGCAAAAATCAAATTTGTACAGAGTGCGGTAAAGCCTTTTATAGGAAAGATCACTTAAAGAAACATTTGCAAAGTCATAATAGCGGTCGAGGTAAGCATTTAAATGGCTCACAAAACAATCAGAACGACCAGCAGCCGAACGACGAAGGGCTGAGTAGTTTTGCAATGATGATGAGACAAGCTGGGCCTCCCCCCTTTTCTATTTTACGGACTTAGTTATTACGCTATGACGACACTGTAACATAAATCCTTGTCTGCGTCTACGAGCGAGATTAATTATTTGGACAAGTTAGGTCCATAAGATTTAATACGAATGAGCTTTATCTAATATACCTTTGCGGATTAATCGAGAATCATTGTTAAGAACCCATGTTCCTAAGGGAGTATATCTTATTGCTATGTATTTTGTCAACAAGTAGGCGTGTCGAGGAATAATGTTATCAATTTTATAATATTCTTTATAATACACTACGTGTAGAAGGTTATCTATATATTAAGGCTGTACCTGTTTGGGTTTTTTTGAAACTTGAATGAATTTGCGTTAAATATGTATAGTTTTACGTAGTTTTAATTATTTACATTTTCTAATGCGCATAGACTCGTATAATAAACATACGTGTACAAGCAAAAGAGCCTCTGTAAATCGCGCATATCTAATGAAATCTGAGGTAAAAAAATTATAACAAAACGAAATGTAGCTCTCCCCCAACTGGACTTAAAAAAAGCTTAAATATTTAGATCAATATATACTACATTCAATATGACATGAGCATGTGTGGATATATATGCACGAAATGATCGTTAATTGTTTACATAGCGATGTTGAGTAATGACTGATAAAATTGTCTATCTTATTAATTGTACAGTGTACAGTCAAAATAATACACAATTTCCGTTTTATTTCAAAATATATTAGTACCCTATACATATATATATATATATATATATATATATAT